AATGTGCATGCATGCGTATGGTTATCTATTTATTTTCTTTTGAGAGTGGACATCAGAATTTCATTTTTTAATGTGTGCCAGTGTGTTCACAGAAAAAAGTCACAATAAGGATTTTCTCATCTTAAATAAATTCTATCACACTTCAAGTATGATGAAAAGAGACATCTCTTTGGGAGAACACATTTCTGAGACGCTGTATCTCTGCCTTCCTGTTACAGGTATTTGAATAGTAGGAATTTTCCAATTAATGATAGAAAATGATGACCATCGTCTCCCAGGATTCGGCTCGTAGTCTGTGATGACTGTTGTTCCCCCAAAACTAATCTTTATGTCATATGGAGTAATACAACCTTTTCTCAATTCAGGAGATGTCTCCAGTGGGACACCTCTAAGTATTTTGTTTGCTGATGAAATAGAAAGGAACTAGGAGAGTGGGTACTATTGAAATGACAGATTAATTAATTGAATGTTACACCACAGGCACATTATGTGCTCTATATAAAATGCTACAACGGAGACACATAAAATGTTCTAAGTGTTGCAGATAACCCCACGTGGGAATTTACAGATTTTAAATGAGCTGCAACCTATTATTTGATCGATGACTCCTGACTGTTATTACATAAAATGTTCCTTTTTTCCGGGGAAGAATAAGAGAAGGAAGTTTAGAGCCTTGTATTTAGAAATGAGTCCCACTTTTAAGCTCTTTGCCCCTACCTAAAAGAAAAATGGATTTGAGCCTAAATACTCCATTCCTAGATTTATGAATCAGCTCATGAACCAATAAATAAATAAAATAGATAGACAGACAGACAGACAGACAGACAGACAGACAGACAGACAGACAGACAGATAGATAAAGTGCAGACTAAGGTAATATACTTTAAAATTGTTCTATTAGTAAGACAGAAATTTTCAAAGGGGGTCAGAAAAGTAGTAATTGTTTAATGGTGCACTATTATTTTCCCAATGCTTTTCACGATTATTTAGAATGTGCTTCCTAATCTTATCTGACAGATTTCTTTTATTTTTTGCTTCTCTTCCTTACAGTAATATGCACAGTTCAGTCTTACTGAATTCATCTATTGATCTTCGAAGGTAAGTGCTGCTTTAACTATCTATAGCCTTAATCTAAGAAGCCCATCACGTAAATACAAAAGTCTCCCCTACAGCAAATCACTGTGAGATATAGGCATTTTTTTTATTAATAGAGAGAAACAGACAAAACACCTGGTATCAACTAACAAATGCACAGCTTTACCTTCTATGCAAGATTGCTTGGGCTTCACAGTAGAAGCCAAGACTCAAATGAAAGAAAAATAACAACGTTGGAGATGCGTCTGGAGAAAGTTACTTGTGGTGGTAGACCCCGTGAAATCAATGTGATAATTTAATTATCCTGCCTATCATTAAAATCTTCTTAGAAATCACATCATTAGCTACCTGGGTTATTTCTTTAAATCTTTATGTTAACTCTATCAATCGTTGTTAAATCCCGCTAGTGAATTTATAGAGACATTCTGATGAGTACTATTAATCAATATGGTTAATGTTCATATTGTTAAATCACTGTTTCTCAAACTTAGCAACTTTAAGATAAGTGAATTTCAACTACCAGAATTCCCCAGCCACTCTGTGTACTCTGGGGAATTCTGGGAGTTGGTTTATACATCTTAAAGTTCCCAAGCTTGAGAAATACTGTGTTAAGCAATGGAATAAATATTTGGTTCCCAAAATAAACACTGTGTAAAGAAATGTACACAAAAGGGACGCAGTTCAGTGGTTCGAATCCCTATAACGGGGTGAGCTCCCTTTACTTGTCCCAGCTTCTGCCAACCTAGCAGTTCGAAAGCACGTAAAAAATGCAAGTAGAAAAATAGAGACCACCTTTGGTGGGAAGGTAACAGCATCCTATGCACCTTTGGCATTTAGTCATGTTGGCCACATGACCCGGAGATGTCTTTCGACAGCACTGGCTCTTCGACTTTGAAACGGAGATGAGCACCGCCCCCTAGAGTCGGGAACGATTAGCACATATGTGCGAGGGGAACCTTTACCTTTACCTTTAAAGAAATGTATATTTCTTGCTATTTGTTTGGACTTTTACATAGTTATGAATAAATTCATTATTTCAGAATTGTAGATGCATTATCATCCTCCAAGTAAAGATAAAGTCTTATGTCATGAAGGGCTTTAAAAGAAAGAATTAGCACCTTGAATTGCAGCTAATAGATAGATAGATAGAATAGAATAGAATTCTTTATTGGCCAAGTGTGATTGCACACACAAGGAATTTGTCTTTGGTGCATATGCTCTTAGTGTACATAAAAGAAAAAAAAATACATTCACCAAGAATCATAAGATACAACATTTAGTGATAGTTGTAGGTTACTAAATAAGCAATCAAATCATACTAGGTAACAAATAAAACAATATAAATCGTAGAGATACAAGCAACGAGGTTATAGTCATAAGTGGGAGGAGATAGGTAATAGGAAGGATGAGAAGAATGATAGTAATACAGTCTTAGTAAATAATTTGACAGTGTTGTGGGAATTAGTTGTTTAGCAGTGTGATGACATTTGGGGAAAAAATGTTCCTTGTGTCTACCGGTCATTGTTGAGATATGGGAATGAAAAAAGTCCATTGCATTTTAAACTATCTTTAGCTTCTAGGTGATCTTCAAAGGCAGCCAGGTAGAGCACGTTGAAATAGTTGAATCATGGAGTGATGCAGGTGTGAATGACTATCTGTAGGATTTCCCAGTAGAGGAAAGGACACCACTGGTACCTGTGCAAAAGCTCTCCTGGACATAGCTGCCATTTACTCTTTGAGCAGTAGCTCTGAATTCAAAGACCTGGACCCCTAAGTTTTTCACAATTTGAAATTGAGACGTGCCAACTTATCAAAGATCAATGATTGAGATATTCCTGCCACAGCCACTCGGTCTTAGTCAGAATTGAGCAAAGTCTGTTCCTCTGGGTCACCACCTCAACAGCTTTCCTTGCACAACTCAGGGCAGAGAGGTAAAGTATACTGATGATACCAAACCCTGAAGTGATGAATGTCCTCACCCAATGGTTTCATGTAGATATTAAACAAGAGAGGGGAGAGGGCTGAACCTCAGCTTCCATTTTAACCTCATTTTAAACTTCTTTAACCTGATACGACTTCTTGTTTTGTTTGGGTGTCTGTGTGTGAGTTTTACTTTCAAGGTTGACTCAGCCTTCCATCTTTCTGAGGTCGGTAAAATGAGAACCCAGATTGTTGGGGGTAATATGCTGACTCTGTAAACCTCTTAGAGAGGGCTGTAAAAGCACTATGAAGCGGTATATAAGTCTAAGTGCTATTGCTATTGGTACTCCTGACCCCTGAACTAGTCACCACAAGGGTTTTGTATTTGTTTCGTTTTTTGGCTGTTGTTGTTTTGAAGTAGTTTGCCATTGCTTTCTTTCCAAGTGTGAAGACAATAACTGACCAAGATCAAGCAGGTGGATTTGTGTCTCAGACAGGACTAGAAATCACAGTCTCCCAGTTTCTCGCCTGGTTCTTAACCACCATGCCAAACTCTCTCATCACTTCAAGAACTTAAAAAACTAGCCCATCCCTTTGAAGGTACAAAAAAATTAGTAAATATCAGTTTATCTGCTGTTTGATTTACCTTTTCCAAATTGGCAAAACTGACTCATCAGTTTCCATGCTGACACTTATCATAAGATTCGTCATTCATTGAAAGATTATGAAATTGAAAAAGTTATGTTAGGATACGAGTACAGACTGAAGGTTGTGAGGAAAAAATAAGTTGAGAACTAACTAGTATGTGCCTTTCAAAATATGGGATATTTTTCTTCATTAAAATAAAGATTACCTCTGATACAGTGCTTCTAGTAACATTCTCAAAGGTTGCTATAGCAACTCTTGCAATGTAAATTAGCATCAGGCTTTATCACGAGATTTTTCAGATTGCTGGGTTTTAGGGACAAAACAGAGAACACCAACTGAAGTAAAAATAAGCTATAGAATAACCTAAAGGGATCAGTTAATAGTCAATGGTTGCCCATTGGTGACTAGACATTATAGAGTTATTTTAACTGCTATATCTGTAAATTCAACAATAAAATGTTATTATAGTTGTAAGCTTATGCTCTTAGTTCCTTAAGTATTTCCAAGAACTGAACAAAGGTCCTTTTAAAATAGCATTTAAAAAAAAAAACTATTTGCCATTGCTTGAAATAAAAATGTTAAATGTTGCAAATATAGTTATAAGGTTATAAAAAGACTATTTTAGCCAATTTTCTTTGACTTGTACAGATGTAGTAGAAAATTAATTCATGTCACAATTTCCCTTTTGTTGAAACCATTATGTGAGAGTGTAGGGTACAAATGTCTCTTCAAATAATGCTGAACTACAGTTCCTAGGATTTCTCAGAATTGATTCTGTTGCATGAAAAGTATGGGTTTTAATTCAGAACCGCTGGGTGGCCGTATTTATTCCATCTTCTTAAATATGGCTTTTTTTGTTAAAAAGCATGTCTGTATTATTCATGATAGAGATTCTACTGCTGTCAAAGAAAAGCTAACAATAAACAACAGCCCAATCAAGGAACTACCCATACCATTCCCACCAACACTGTCAGGGCAAGTGACTAGTATATAAAATGAGAGCAAACCCACTCCCTTGTGGTACTGATGGAGTTACCTAGTTTGGTAATGAAACATCTGCAAGAAAACATCCAAGCTCAGAGAGCACCAAGGATCCCACAGTTCAACCCTGAGCTACAAATATTCTCTTCAAAGAAAAGATCATGGAGTGATTCACATGTGCCTTGAAAAGGAGGTCCATAGAGATACCATGCCCATGGACACCGAACTAGAACTTGCTTTTGAATAGAACTTAGTTTTGATTTTGTACCTGGTTTGCATGAGTGGTTTCCAAAGCTAGTATCAGAGTTCCAAGTAATACCCCCAACGAAATAAAACTCTGAGGCTTGAAGTTCCTCAAAGCTACATTTTATTAGAGATGTCGTATTGGCACATCTGGGAAAACCCGAATCTGAAAGGTTCCAGATTTTCCCCATCCAAAGAAAAAATCAAGTCCTGCCCAATACCCACAAGTCCATCACATGGTCCAATCAAACATCGTCCCAATTGGAGATGCCTCCCAAACTCAGCCTTCCAGGTGCAGGGCATTTTGTCCTTGACTTTCTGAGGAAGGAATGTTATTATGTCTATATATCATAATATGGCTTCATACAATCCCCCCTTCCAGTTTCCCACAGTAATAAATGTGGCAGGTCTGAAGGCCTAGTGCAAAAGATGGCTTTGAGACCTGGTCTCTCCCTGTAGAGCCCTAGCATCAGTTCTCCTCATAATCACACTAAGACTTCTTTCACACACTACTTCAATCTAAGATCAGCCTAGAGTCCTGGTGATCCTTGGGGCTTTGCTTATATATTTGAAATCTGAACTCAGTTGAGAAAATATGCAGTGAGGGGCAATTTGGCAGCATTTCTTCTGAAAGTTCAAAGAGGTAGTTTCCATTGGCAAAAATCTGTGCTTTATCTCACCTCTCAACTGCTCTGAGTACTCCCTCCCCATCCTTCCTGACCAGCTTTGTTGCTCCCTCACACGGTGTCTAGCATACATCTAAACAAGGGGGTCAAACTCATATTGTCACGGTAGCATTACATGACATATGGGGACATTCCCCCCCCTTGCTAAACCGGACGCGGATATGGCCAGCGTGTGATGCATCCAGCCTATGGGCCAGGAGTTTGACAGCCCTGATCTAAACAATCCAACTCAAACTCTTTGCAGGAAACTCTTTTTCCCAAGCATGTCTTGCCAAGCAATTTCAAGTGTAAGCAACTGATGTCCTCTATTTGCAGAAGTATATACAATCCCTGGCTTTTTTTTTTTTTTTTTTTTTGGCTATGATAGGACATAATGCAAAGACTAAGCAATATTACTTAAATATTTAAGTCAGCAAAATAGAAAACAGAACAGTACAATTTTTCAATCCAACTGTTGTTCTGTAAAGATTTGTCCCTCACTTTTTTTTCCCTGTAACAATGCTTTAATAATGTAACTTACATAATTTGCCCAGTTTCTGGTCTTTTTGCAAGAAAGCGTATTTTGAAAGGGAACAGTGCTCCCAGGTGATCAAATGCAGGAACTGCTTAAATTCTAAAACGAAGGAGTCTCACTGTGAAGATAAGGAAACAAGATCAAATCTGAGGAAATTATAGCACAGTTGTGGTAAGAAGAGATTTGAAAATCATCTGCCACAGATTGAAAGGCTGGTCCTGTCACAGCATATAAGGCACCAAAAAACAAATTCCATTAACATTAGCCTCCAAATTTGTATAATCAAAATCTGTACAGCGACTTGTGCATGTGTAAGAGAAAGAGAGACAGAGATTCCTTAGGATGGCTGAGGAAAGGTGTGTCGAAATGAAGGTAATTATGTTAAAGCAAGAGTTTGCCCTGATATAAACTTCCTTTTATATGATTACCTTCATTTGTGTTTCTATTTTGTAGTAGGGGTTTAGTGGCAATTTTTGTATAGAAGAAGCTCTAACCAATGTACATTTTCAATAGAATAGTGATTCTTCTAGTAAGAACAGATTACGACTCAATAAATATAGTAAGATTTATTTGTTTGAAAAAGAAAAATAATCCTTTCATGGTCAGAGATATACTTTTTAAACAAACATTTGGTCAAAATCCAAAAAGGCTCCTTTGTCAATCAAGAAGCTTGAGTATGACTGCAACAATATACAGAAAAAGGCATTTTCTACTCTCACATGAAGAAATGCCATTCATTAATAATCAATCAACTAGCATTCTGAAAACTTGTTGGAACTAACTGAACATTCTGTTACATGTGTCACATGAATATAGAACAACAGTATGTGTAAATCATGCACATGTCACTTAAAACTCCTAGAAAAACATTTTGGAGAGAGCAGATTCCCATCATTGATTTTGTCACTAAAGCCAAAGATGGCAACTGAAACCAGGGAAATAAACATAATCCAAATGATTAAGAAAATGTGCTTGATAGAAGTGATCTAACGTGAACAGATTGTTCACCTGCCATCTACCAAGCATGAGCTGAATTTTGGGGAAGGAAAGATTAAACAATTTAGGGGGGCTCAGGAGATTAGACAGTTCCAAGAAAGAGAGAAACATGGGGGTGGGAATCAGAATAATCCTGCCTTGATTTTGTCAGAGTTTGTTTTAGCACACACAGGCAGACTATTAAGCAGGATTCAAAAACGTCTTTATGTACATAACAACACATAAGACATACAATACCCTTGTAGGTTTTTCCATGTTGTACAGAAGAAAAATAGCAAGTACAAACACAGCACAAAATGGAAGAGGCAAAATGGAAGAGTGAGAAGTTAGTGCCCTCTAGCTTATATATAGAACAGTTAAGCCACACCCAGGCTACAAGCTGTCTCATATGGTCCCATACAACGAATATTATGTTTCAGTTACCAAACAGCCCTCATTGGCTGACCTGTTGCTATGCCCTATTCCAGTTCATGATTATACTCTGACAGATTTTTGTTAAGTATAAAATGGGATTTTGTTTAATATAGCTTTGTATTATTTAGTATAAAAGTGAAACTTAGATAGGTTTTAAACCTACCTACCTACCTATCTAAACCTACTGATGGTCTTGAAAGACTATCAGTCCCAACAGACATAAATACTTTTGACCATCATTTTGCTTGGTATGTGTGCTTTTTATGTTATGCTTTTAAATCTGTTTGCTTGAGTTACTAATAAAGGTTAAAATATCTTTATTCACCAGTGTGTTTATTGTCTCTGGATTCAAAGGAACCGATTGCCTGGGCACCTGATCACTGCTTGTCATTTGGCAAAACAGAGAATGGAATGGAAAGTAAGGGCCTAAAAGAAGGAATTTCCATTCCCAGTCTTTAATACACCATCAAATGTGAGCTACAGTTACAATCACAGTGCTCAAGTTAAGCATTAAACTGGGGGCAATGGCCACATCAAAAGGAGAAACTGGTTTTACTTAATGTATATTTATATTCAATTCAATTCTATAATCATACATTTATTAATTTCCCCCATTAATCACATCAAACATTGCAATTTGATGTCAACTTTTAGAGAATTCTAAGGGTGTCATCATTGGATTTTGGAGGCTGCTTGCATCGCTGAGCACACAGTTGTGGATATGAATTTGGATCAGAAGTGGGCGTATATATTAAATTAATCCTATTCATTTCATAATTTCTTGTTTCACATCTTCAGCGATTATGATATTCAGGCCTGTTTCTGCTTGCATCAACCAGCTCCTGTTATTATAAATTCTATAAATAGATTGTATCTATTTGGTTCATCATATTAGCACATTTTGTCCTTTTGAAGGGTCTTATCTGCCACATTATGTGTACAAATTATTTTCAATAGACAGTTCATGACCTTATAAGTAAAACATGATCAAGCAGATTCTCTTATTAGATGAAAAACTAAGCCTTCACGCTAGCTCATAAATGTCCCTGTCATTTTCATAGCTATAATCCATAATCAAAATCAACCAGTGATGATTTGGGATGTACATATTTTGGTACACATTTTGGTGTCTTACTTTTTATCATATAAAAGTTTTTGGCTGTCTTTAAATAGAACTGTTCCTTTATGTTCACAGATGGGTCCCAATAACATTTGGGTTCAATACAATTTATAGTAGATTCGTAGAAAATACCTGTTGCATATGTTTTTTTCTGGGGGAAGAGAACCTGAGTTGGCTGTCCACTATCAAAAGATCTATTTTCTTCTCTTTCTTAGCCATCATCTTCAAGGAAGATAGTTTTATTTACATGTGTGTGTGTATACCTTTGAGTTAGTCTTGATTCCAAGGGACTCCAAAAGTCTCTGCAGTTCTCTTGGAAGCAGTTTCTATTTTCCTTCTTCTTAGGACTGAGAAAATCTGGTCCAAGGTCACCTAGGAGGCTTTGTACCCTAAGGAAGAACTAGAATTCAGTTTCCCAGTTTCTAGTCTAGTAGTTTAACCACTACATTAAACTGGGCCTCTTACATACTTAAGGTCATGCCCCTATGTTGAGGTTTTACATGAGTTATTTATTTATTTATGTAATTTATATGCCGCCCTTCTCCCGAAAGACTCAGGGTGGCTTACAAAGAAAACATTCAACAATTCGAAAATTACATAAAAATTAAAATCCAATTAAAATTTATTAAAATTATTTCAATGTAAAAATCCCCCAACGGATCAGCCCATTTGATAAAAGATCCACGTCTTCAGTTCACGGCGGAAGGAGAGGAGGTCGGGGGTTGTCCTAAGCCCGGTGGGCAAACTGTTCCAGAGGGTCGGCGCTCCCACAGAGAATGCTCTCCCCCTGGTTGTAACCTCTTTTACATGAATGTAAAACTTCATTTGTGGGGGCATGACATAATGTCCTCTGTGTGTGTGTGTGTGTCCCTCCCTCCCTCCCTCCCTTCCTCTCTGATAGCATGGGAAGGTGGACTCAACTTATAACCATAATTGAAGCCAAAACTAAGAGATGCATTTGTTATATAAGTTGTGTAAAAAGATAAGCAATCATTTTACTAGGGTTGTTTAGTAAATCATATGGTTGTTACCTGAAACCAGCTTCTTTGCTTGACTTTACTGGTCTGAACGCCTTGAGAAAGTTACAAATGAAAATCATGTGATCCTGGAATGCTACTACCATTGTAAATATGTGCTGGTTGTCAAGCACCTTAATTCTGGTCATGTGACTATGGGATGGCTGTGATGGTCATCAGTGTGAGAATCAATTGTAAAAAACAATTTTTCAGCACCGTCGTAACTCAGATGGATGTTAAATGAATGGTCATAAGCCAAGGATTACTTATATTATATTATTTTCTGTAAATGCCTTCCTGCAAGACCACAAAGATTTGGATACCTCCTAAAGCTACTATTCTGAATGTAATCATCTAAACTAATCCATGGGTTTACTTAGCAGTTGAGGTTTGAACCCCCATAAAATAACATCTTTTAACAGAATAACAGAGTTGGAATGGACCTTGTAGGTCATTTAGTCCAACCCCCCACCCAAGCAGGAGACTCTACACCATTTCTGAAAGATGACAGTCGAGTCTCTTCTTGAAAGCTTCCAGGGGTGAAGCTCCCACAACTTCTGAAGGCAAGCTGTTCCATTGGTTGACTATGTAGGTTCCATGATACCTAATAAGGATAAAACTAGTCCTTTATTGTCTACTGGTGGTCAACATCGCTGCAAGGAGCCCTCTGGACCTGTTCTTTGTGTCATATATCTTTGTCTATTCGGTAAAGTATCATTTCCTTTCAGCTAACAGAATTGTTTAAAGCATCGTTGTCTGGGATTCATTAAAAATCTGCTTGCCCTTCGGACTACTGCAGCTTTCTATTTTTCTTCTCCCCACACAATGTCCTCCACCCCAAAAGTAGAATAAGTACCGCAATGTTGCTGTTTCTAAGGTCACTCAATCAGATAAATATTGAAAGGAAATTGTGATTTTTATGATAACTGTTCCACTTTTGAAAGAATTGGGCAAAGAGACTATTTATCCTTTACTGCAGAGATTTATGGATTTCCTACCTGGCTTTCTGCACAAGCTAAATTTAAATCCTTCTGAACAACGAACGCTTGAAAAGGACTTAACATTTAGGACTACTGGGAAGTATGGTTTTCCTATTAGTAGCCTGACACATTCTCAACCAATCATTATAAATAGCTTTGAAAATGTCTCTAACTTGGGCAGAAAGGACAAATACATGCTGAGTCAATGAACTTTGAACATCATACTCCAGAAAATGCGCTGAAGAAACAGTTGCCATAGTTGGCTATAATATCATCACAATGCCACACGTTGGTAATTTACATTTATTTCTAAACTGAGTCCTGCTGGTTGAGCCATATGGTCGTGTCAATGAGGATTGATTCATTATTTCATTTTTATCCCACTTTATTGTTCATTAACTCAAACCAATATACAGTACATACCAGAGAGGGGTTTCAGCAGGTCCTGACCAGTTCTAGAAAACCAGTAGTGGAAATTCTGAGTAGTTCAAAGAACCGTTAATAAAAATTCTAACTGGCTCCACCCCCATCTATTCTCTGCTTCCCAAGACACAGCTGATCGGGAGGAAATAGGAATTTTGCAGTATCCTTCCCCTGGAGTGGGGTGGGAATGGAGATTTTACAGTATCCTTCCCCTGCCACGCCTACCAAGCCACGCCCACCAAGCCACACCCACAGATCCGGTAGTAAAAAATTTTGAAACTCACCACTGGTACATACCTATATTCCCAATTCCTGATTTCCCACAACAACAACACCATCACGTTGTATCAAAGAGGGGTCCTAGTCTAAAGTACCCCCCAGCCAGCTTTCATACCTAAGGAACAACTACAACTCACATCTCCTGGTTTCTAAGGATTAAGATGTTTATTATGGCATTCAGTCTGTAGAGGTTCTCAGTCATCCAGGTCATGGTTGTCCCAAAGGTGGTTTTTCAGGAGGCAACTGGACTTCCTTGGGTTTTTTTTTTCTTTTGAAGACGTTTCGCTTCTCATTCAAGAAGTTTCTTCTGCTCTGACAGGATAGTTATTATGGCATTAGTTTTTGAAATCTAGAGCCCACGTCAACAAATACCCAATGTATACTTTGAGCATATTAATGAATTGTTAGATGATGATAATCAGGGCCGGATTTAGATGAAAAGAGGCCCTAGGCTATTCCACTTATGAGGCCCTTTCACCTATAGTGAAAATGTAATTTTAATTTTGCTAACAATTTGAATGTAGGCCCCTCTTGATCTTGAGGCCCTAGGCTGAAGCCTAGTTAGCCTATAGGAAAATCCGGCCCTGATGATAATGTCTTGATCAAAGATCTGTTAGTTACTAGTGAGCCTCTTTTTCCTTCTAGTCATCGTGTCTTTTCATAAATAACATCAGGAAGGCTATTTACATAATTGTAACGTTCTGGTGAAACAAATACAAGCCACTGTTTCCTTATGGTTAGAACTAGAATAGAATTGATTCACCAGCCTATATTTTTTCACAATAGACAAATTAAATCCTTTCTGAAACTCCATTTCTTCCTTAGGATCAAGAATACAGCTGAATCTAGTCTATGCCTCTAATATAAAATAGAAGCCATTAAAAAAAAAAACCTACTTTATTTTACTTAAAACATCAAATAGATTAAATTCCATAGGTTCATTGATCAGAATTCATATATAAAAATGTGCCTAGCCTTGACTCTAGAAATGTTGCATTTCTTTTTCCTTCATACTGATAAAGAAAAGTGTTTGTTTATTTAATTTTCTAAGAGTACCTCTGACAGAAACATGGATCATCTCTGCGGGGAACTGAACTTTATATAATTACGGTGCATGGTGCTTTGCCTGTTGCTTAAACAAAGTTAAATCCGTTTCCATACTGCAAACAATATTTGGCTTTTGAATCTGAAAATGGTTCTGAGAAGCTTAAGGAGGTGGCAGAGTTCAGTTCAAAGAAATGAACTCCGGAATGAATAACCATAGCAGCTTAGATATAAGTTTGCTTACAGCTTCATTTTTTTTCAATAATTCGTATTCCAACAAGAAAGACAAATCCAATTTCCCTTCCCCATAATCCTTTTTGCTATAACTTATCCAGGCAGAACCCACCAGTAGTGACATCCAATGAGAACCAAGCACAGGGAAAATCAAAGGGCATAATATGATTGAAATTGGGGAGAGATGACAAGTAATTATGATGTTATCAGAAGGATGGTCATCTACCCATACCTCCTATACTTCTGAAGCCACTCTTCCAACTTAAGAGACACAGCCCTGTCACTGCGTTTTTTTTATTTACCAGCTGAGCTCATTATTTCTGGACTATCAGACTTTCCGTAGCTTGCCAAGAATTGTTATCAGTAAGCTGAACTACACATGTCCGCATTCTTTTCACTTGTTTCACACTTTTTTCCTTTGTTCTCTTGCCAGAAAGGTCCGGCTGAGAAATAGCCGGCACGAACTTTTGCAAAAATGTAACAATTACTTTTCTTAGTTAGTGAGATGTTTTATTTTCTTTATAACAAATAAATGAGTTTTCTTAGAAGAGATATGTTCTTCGGGTTTTGTTTCTTAAAGTATACTTGCAAGGAAAGGCCATGATCCATCTCCTCTAATCAGGATGATTATCTCATAGCCAGGATGGGATTAATCAACGCCCTGACAAGCCCCAAGTATCCCTACCACTAGTGAGACCATGTTGCCAGTAAAGGAGAATATTTGTAGCTCAGGGTTGAAATGAGGAGTCCTTGGTGCTCTCTGAGCTTGGTTGTTTTCTTGCAGATGCTTCATTAACCAAACTAGGTAACATTATCGATGCATTGATGATCTCTTCAATAAAGGACCCTTCTGAGACCCCATTGCCCTTTAGTTTCCATATCCTCCCTAGTTCCTGCTTCAGGCCCTGGTAATTCTCCAGTTTTTCATACTCCTTCTTTCTGATGTTGCTGTCGGGTCCCATAGATCCCTATCAGGATGCTGCCATTCTGGTGAGGAGGAGGCCTGGGTGCATTCTTTAGTTTATAGCCTTTTTCCTGGTGCCTATCTATCCTGTACTTTGATTTACCTTCCTGGGAATGTAAAGGGGAAATGCCATCTGTTTTGTATCAATTCCAAAGCCTCCAGCAAGAGATGCCTAAGAACAACTTCTTATCATCTTCTCAGCAGGGGTGAAATCCAGCAGCTTCTGACAGGTTCTGGAGAACCGGTAGCAGAAATTTTGAGTAGTTTGGAGAACCGGCAAATACTACCTCTGGCTGGCCTAGAGTGGAGTGGGAATGGAGGTTTTGCAGTATCCTTCCCCCAGGAGTGGGGAGGGAATGGGGATTTTGCAGTATCTTTCCCCTGCCACACCCACCAAGCCACACCATGCCCA